CGATCTCGTGTCATGGAATATAGATTATGAAAATAATATATTCAGATGCAACATTTCTGTGGGTACTTAAGTATAGGACAAATATATTATTATACACATTTTTTTTGTAGAAACTTATATAAGTTATTATAACTAGATAAAATTTTTAATGTTTAAATCTGCTTATTATTCTTTTATTTTATTTTTAGGTTTCTACGTTAAAGTCATAGTGGAATAAATTCGTCCATTTTTAACTCTCGCGTGCCCAGCATTTATGAAAGACTCTTATTATAATTTAAATAAATATATTTGTAATTTAAATGTTATTGATTAAAAGTACTTTTACGCATTTTGTCGCGTTTAATTTACATTTAATTATTTTTATTTTTAATTCCCGATATTTCGGGTGCTTTCCAGCACCGATGGTCACAGAGGACTGAGGTGACTGACGTCCCGATATCATTGTTAAACTCGGAGTACCTTTAGCTTTTTTATTTATTGTTTATGGTATAAAAAAAGATAAAAAAGTTGAAGGTACTCCGAGTTTAACAATGACATCGGGACGTCAGTCACCTCTGTCCCCCGTGACCATGGGTGCTGGAATACACCCGAAACCTCGAGAATAAAAAATAAAAATAATTAAAAGTAAATTAAACGCGATAAAATCCGTAAAAGTAGTTTTAATCACTGTGTAGTGTTCGCGTTAATATAAGAAATCATTATTTAAATGTTATGTTAATAAATAAACGTACATTTAGTATGTTTTTTATATTTGACATAGACACCTTTTGAAGTATTCAGATAAAAATATCATTATAATGTAATTGTGATATAATATTATGTAATATTATATTAGATAAGCAAATATAATATACAAAATAAATGACAAAATTTAAATATTGATCTCGATATAATTTACCTATTTAACAATACAATCTACTATTACCTACGGATGATTCTACCTGTGTTTATTCTATGATAAAAAAACCAACCGGGCGAACACAGAGTTGCGCACATTTTTTGTTTGAGATAGCTGTTCTAGTACGTAGGTACATATTACTTCAATGACCAGGGGCCTTGTTCTTGTGTGTCGGCTACACAAATAAATGGAACACTTTTTGTCAGTCTCATCGACACCCCTTTTTGTCGAATTATAATATTCTATATCTGCAGGTTTTCAGGTGGGTAATAGCACTGACCGTGGCATAATGATACATAAAAGAAATAAAAACGACGGATTTGTTCTGCTTTGGTACAAAAGAGCATAAAGTATTATATTTTTTAAACCGAACAAAGTAGATAGAACTTGACGGTTCTTGTTTGACATTTTGAGAGTGTTTAATTGGTGCAATATTGTAAATAAAATATTGAAAGCTTTTAATAAATTTAAAACAAAATTAATAAATAAAAAAGTTTAAATAACATAAAAATGGAAAATTCCAAATATTCCATTTTTATGAATTCGTATTATTTAATAATTAGAATAATCAATAAAAAGGATGTAGGTCCTATAACAAAAAGGCTGTATCGTATCACTCTTTGATCGTGACTATGGCAAATTTAAAAAAAAGGTCCCGTCAAACATGATTTTTTTTTATTAACTGGCTTTACGGCTCTGGTTTCTAGACATTCTGAGCCTACCATTTCTTTTGTAATCTTCATTTTATGTTCTTTTTCTTCACAATATGCTGATGCGTCACATTGCGAAGCCCTTGGGAGATTTTTACGACAGCTCAACTTAGCGGACAGTTGATGACGACAGCCACTCAAGTTCATAAGGCGCCCAAGCGATCAAAATAACTTGAGGTTTATATCACCATCAAAGCACTTGTTTCGTCGTTTTCTCTAATAGTTCACACGCGCGGACACTTAATTCACAAAATCCACTTCAAACCATTATTCAAGCGACAAAACAGGAGCGACGATCCGTCTACAGCCAAGTTCCCGCCAAAACTCCCTGTCAAACATGATAGCTTAGACGAGTACAGTTTAACTCTATGGGAGTGCCCTGTCTGATGTGTAAGCATCATAATAGTCTGTGGTCCTATACTATGAGGACTTACGATAGTAAGGTCTATGATACTAAAACATTAATACAGAACGTCTCACGAATGCATAAGCATTATGATAGCAGAGTTGTGGATTAAAGTCCCATATATTAAAAACATATATAAGCAAGGTCTATGAAATAAAGCACATATGTGGAAGGTCTCAAATATGTAAAAGCATTATGTTGATAGAAATGCGACTCTAAAAGGATTATTGCAGTGGCATGTAGACTACTTCACAGTGTCTGAGATAGAGGTAAACTTCGTCTCGCTAACCGATATGTTCTAGACCTTTGATTATATACATGTCTAGATAGAGATTTCGAGCGTCTAAACGTCAAAAAATATCAGCCAACTGTTGGCTCATAAGTTCGTCCCCAGTGTTGGGAAATGTACAATAATTATTGAATTCTTACAATAATTTGTTACACGAAACTAAATTGTACCATAAAACATAGCTTTCCCATTATTGTACGCTTTTATACAATATTTTACTATTTTTACACAATATAAGTTCAATACTAGCGCACGCAACTCTAAAATGTATGAACGAACGCATCACGTGCTTATACCAAAATATTTAACATCAACCTTGCCTCATTAGGCTGTATGGGCTGCGCTCCTTTTGCCTTTCCCATTATAAAACATTAAAAAAAGAAACAAGTCTGATAGAGCTAGATTCGTAGACAGAGAATCCCATAGGCACCGGCATAGCTTGTTGCAGAAAGAGACAAAAAAATACGTCACTATAGGGTATATATTTAGGGTTACAAGTGTGAAGAAAAATTTACCCCACAACTAGCTATAAAATTAGAAATTAGTAAGTAAAGTAATCCTGAAAAGGAACACTGCCATTAACGATTATCATTGATAGGTATTGTAGTGGATGGAGAGTTAAGTGGAATGTATTTGACTAATTATTTATTATAATTTACTTTTGTGAAGAAAGAAGAAACTAAAAAATTGTGATATCTATCTGACTAATAAACTATTGTGTAATGAATGAGAGCTTAGTGGACTGTATTTATGTAGGTTGTGTTTTAATCTTGAAGAAAGAAGATACTGAACTAACTGTTACCAGCCCTCTGTCACTCTTGCTACCTGCGTGAAATAATTACCTACAATCGCTAGGCACCCAGGGCACAGAATAAATAATAGTACTGCGTACCGAAGTTGCACTCCTTTGATGTCGACTGCTTACCGACGTTTATTTATTATTAATCAGATAAATCACACACGCAAGCTAAATAAAACTTTATCGCTGCGCGCTAGTGTCCATATTACTTTGCATCTTTTTTTGTCACGGCGGACTTTCCGTGGTTAAGGGATGTCAATAGAAAGTAAAAAATACATTGCGAAATGTAAATTATGTTACTTAGGTGAAGTACTAACTAATATTCTGACTATGATTGAACCATACTTTCGCCCACATGTAAGTTCTGCGATGCCTAACGCATGCAAATTGCAAGGTCATTCGTCGGGAATCGTAACGCTTGGGAGAAATAGGTAGATAGTGTAAACAACAAATAAACCTGAAATACGATTTCTAACAGAAATGTGATCTATTCTATTTAGTTAAAAATCTTGTTAGTATACAAAGTTTTAATTTCAGCATTTTGTGTTATTATAACTCAAAATATTTTAATTACAAAAGACAAGTATAGGTATGCAAGTAAATACTTGGATAAAGAAGTAAATTTTTAAAAAAATTTGTAATGAAGTACTTAGGTATTTCTTCTGTAGACCAAATTATTACTTAATTCTTTTTTTGCTGTGAGTACCTATCTAAAAAAAATTTTTTTTAACCTTTCATAACTTCCTTCTAAAATTCTTCGGTAACTTAAAGAATGATATGAAGCCTTTTGTTGGTCATTTCATTTAGTATTCATCTAAGCAACAGTTATAGTAGGAACGAAGTTTTGCTATTATAATTTATACATAATACCTATATCATTTTTAAAATATATTAAAACTTTTACAACTATTTTTACCTACAATTAAATATACTAAACACTAAACAAAAACTACTTCAACAACTGTTTACGTAAATAGTTTTATTTAAATAGGTTTCAGATATACCATTCTTTAAAATTACCGAAGGATTTTAGAAGGAAGTTATGAAAGGTGAATTTATTTCATTTTTTTGTTAGATAGGTACTACAGTACGGATTACGGTACGGTACGGATCCGACGGATGCAATACAATGATGGGGTCTTATAATTCAGTCGCAAGTCGCTTTAGAATCGATTACCCGGGTATTATAATAGTAAAGTGTATTTGCCACTGCACATTTGTGTGCAAGTGAGGCATGCAAAAGCCTTCCTAACCGCTGTGAGGAATTAGCGCGATCTATTTACAATTTCTTTAAGGGAAGCTCCAAAAAGACTGCACAATCAGTGCAGTTTCAAACTTTTCTTAATCTTAAACCGCACAAAATGCTGCATCCTTCACAAACTCGCTGGCTGTCTCTTGTATTAGTGGTAAACAGAATTCTAGAGCAGTGGAGCGCTCTCACATTATTTTTTACGGATATGGCCATTGCAGAGAGATTAATGTTTGGGAAATTTATTTTGGACTGGCTCCGTGATCCTTTCTTAAAATTATTTTTTTACTTATTGCAGTGGATATTGCCAAAATTCACAAATTTTAATACATAAGTACTTTCAGGCAACTAAAGTAGTTGTAACTGAACTACATGAAAAAGTAGGAGAGCTATACAAAGAAATATTACTTTGTTACATGAAAAATGATTATGTCTCAAAAACACCTCTGGCTAATATAGATCCCACGAATCAATCACAATTTCTCCTTGTACAACAATTATATTTAGGAGTAGGTGTATTAACTCATCTTAGTAATGAAGACATCCAAAGAAATCCTACCAGAATAACAGATTTCCGCAATAGGTGTAGGAACTTCCTCATGGTAGCTTCTTCTGAAATAAAAAACGCTGGGACTTTTCAGGTAAAGTGATGTCGGAAATAAGCTCTTTAAATCCTAAATTAGCTCTTTCGAGCGACCACAGACAGAACAAGCCTTCCATCGTGCCGTTGCCTACAATATTGCCTAGAATAATTACTCATAATACTGCAACAGGCGATGGCAGTTTACTGCAATCCTTAGATGACCAGTGGCAAAATCTCCCCCTAAGATGTCTACCTGATGAAATAACTCAAGAAAAAGAAGTCGACCCGTTTTGGTCTAAATTGTTAAAATTTGAAAACCTTTGCGGCGAGAAAGAACTTAAGTCGTCAAAGGTTAAAAAAGGAAGCTATCACGTGCAAGGTAATTTTATACTTACACATTTTTGTTTTAAGAAAATATCCATAATGTACAAGTTTGTCTCGCACTTGGCCGATTTTTTTATTTTATTATATTTTACAGGCATTATTCTTAACGTCATTAGAAACAGATGACGATGAAAGTAACAGCTTAATTAAAGAAACAGAAAAAAAAGCGATTGTGTAACAAACGTATTAGATGATGCAGTAAGTTTTATTTTTTATAAAAATAGTTTTGAATCAAATAAGAAAGTGTGTGTATTCAAGTTTCTCTTCCTTCGTGTGTTTTGGTAATTTTTAGAGCCGTTTTTCTGAATTTGCCGTCTACTATAATAAATTGGAAGATTTTAGTGTGTATTACGCAATATACATAAACTAAGTTTTATTTTCAGAAAATTTCGGTATCCAATGAAGAGGGATTTTTACGTGCTACAAAAAATAACCAATATGCTTCTTCTTGTTGTATAGAAACCTCTGACACCAACGTTAGCAATATTACGGGCATAGAATCTGCCAGTACCGATAGTCATATACCTGGACAAGCAACCGGTAGTAAAATTAAAGATGGACGGAAAAAAGAAAATGAAAGTGATATCATTGATGATTTTTCTGATCTTTAATCTATTTTCGATACTCCAAAAAATTAAATTGCGTCGAGAATTACGAAGAAGAATACGGCTACAAAAAAAAAACAAACTCTAAAGATACATTTAAGACGTAAAAACTTACGGCTTAAAAAGAAAATAGCTTTCTTTAAACAAATTATTGGGACGCTAAAAAAGAGAGATATATCGACAACGACACTCATAATATTTTAAATGATAATTGTTTGCTGCGGATCTATATTCCAGTATGAATAAAAAGCTAAAAAGGGCCAAGAGACCGATTAAAAAGTATGCTCCAGAATTTAGAAAATTTTGTTTAACATTAACCTTTTTATCTCCAAAGGCATATAGCTACGTCAGAAGTAAATTTTAGACTTGCCTCCCACACCCAAAAACCTTATCCAAATGGTATTTAAATATTGATGGCTTCCCGGGTTTGACAGAAGATGCTTTTAAAATATTAAAAGTTAAAAGAAATGAATCAGACAAAAATATGATTTGCGCATTGATAGCCGATGAAATGGCAATAAGACAACAAACATGTTTCAATCGAAAGACTTTGCGGGATGAAGGTCTTGTTGATATAGGGAGTGGACCCGATGACAACATGAATGTTAAGGCGTCAGAGGCATATGTATTTTTACTTGTCTCACTAAACGAGCCTCGGAAACTACCAGTGGCTTATTTTTTAGTCCATGGCATGACAGGGGAACAAAAATCTAATATTATTATAACTATATTATACAAAAGCCATGAAGTAGGCATTGACGTCGTGTCATTGACGTTTGATGGCCATAGATCAAAATTTTCAGCCATGGAAGTGCTGGGTTGCAAATACAAAAACCCAAAAGAGCTGAAGACAACATTTAAACACCCATGTGCCGATTATGAGGTGGCAGTATTCTTAGACTTCTGCCATATTTTAAAATTAATCAGAAATCATTTTGAGTCAAAGCAAGTGTTTTTAAACAAAGATAATAAAATTAAATGGCAATATATAAAAAAGCTGGCCGAATTACAAGAAGAAACTGGTTTGCATCTTGCTAACCGTCTTACAAAAAAACATATTCAATTCAGAAACTCCATAATGAACGTTAAGTTCGCAACCCAGCTTCTCAGCAGAAGTCTTTCTGTAGCAATAGAATTTTGTAGACAAGAGCTAAAGCTGTCCAATTTTTTGAAAAGTGAAGCAACTGTAAAATTCATCATGATTATGAATAATATTTTTGATACATTCAATTCTAAGAATTTACAGGGGTTACAAGCATCCATTATTTCCTGGAAATAAAAATGAAGTGTTTTGCGATGTTAGAAGACGCGAAAGATTTAATTTTAAATCTAAGCCTAAAAGAATCTAGAAAAAGAACGTATAAGGAACATCAAACATCAAAGAAACTAGTATTGAAAGGCTATGTACCAGTTCTAAAATCACAATCATTTACTGGATTTCTTGTTGTTCTAATATGAATAAATAGCTTGAAATTTTTGTATGATTCTTTAATAGAATCGAAAAGGATGAACTATCTGACCACATATCGCATCTGTCAAGATCACATAAAATTATTTTTTTGGTGCGATACGGATGCATGGGAGCTATAATGATAACCCGAATGCTCACCAGTTAAAAGGCATTTACAAGAAATTACTTTGTCATATGGAACTTAAATCTGCTTCGTCAGGAAACAGTGTACCACTGGAAAACATAAGTATTCTTATGTGTTCTTCATCCCTTAGTTGCATTAATGCGACAGTTTCATCGTTGAGGAAAGATAACGACGACGAGGAAGAGAGTGAAAATATCACCAACAATTTTAATGAACATGAAGGCAGTAAATTTCAGCTATTAGATGATTCGCAATTATCTGAATACACACAACAAATTGTTGGATACATAGCAGATTTCGTTCTTAGATGTTTACGTTAACAGGTAAAATGTGTCGCTTGCATTGAAAGTCTCATATCAAATGAACCATTGCAATACCATAAATTGGTTAATATGCGTGATGAAGGTGGACTTATTTACGCCTCTCATGATGTATATCATGTATGTAAAACTGTTGAAAGTGTTATAAGGAAGTTTATTAAACAAAATTTTATAATGACGCTCATCAGTTATGCAAAAATAGTATCCACTGTAATGAAACAATTTGTTGCAGGTACTAAACAACGGTCTTCTACATGAAGTTAATTTAATAAGACTGGTTGTGGAAAAATATTTGGATTTTAGATATTACTATAAGACAAAATTGGATAATAACGACCAGGATATGACATCTAAACGAAAACTGATTAAAAAAACAAATTCAACGAGAAGGTCACAAAGATTCCTGCTGAAAATAGCATATAACTAAAATTAAATGTTTATTTTCAATACAATTATAAACGTAATAATGTTGTTGTTAAGTAATTCCGAAGTAGAATATTAAGAATAAATAACCTTCAATAGCAATATATTTTTAATTTAAAATATATTTTACCTAGCAATTCATATTCACAAACTTCTAATATATGAATAAAATCATAATTGAATGAATTTGAATTTAAAATAAAATTACTTAGAGATAATTATCTCAAAAACAAAACATCATATTTTTCCCTCGTACGCTCTCACGTAATGCGCGCGAAGCCGCGCGCAGTCAGTGGTACCAACTTAGGGTAATTTACCCTATATTTAGAGTAAAAGTAATCCAGCAGGGTAATTTCTAGGGTATGAATTTTCCTAGGGTTTTTTGGGGTAACAGTCAATAACAGTAAAATAATTACTTTGAATGATATTCTTTTTGAACGCGCCCATTACAGATTCCGTGTCGTGAACGCACCGATTGCTTTTGTGTCTCTAGTCTCCCTTATTTATTGTGTTGCTTGCTCTTTCTTTTCGTGAGTGTGTGTTGTTGTGAAAAATGGCGTCGTCTAGTGCTGGCGTTACGCGTTCAGGTGTGAAAAAGTATGCACAAAAATACTGTAAAGAATGGGAGTATGATCCAAATTTAAAAGGTAAGTCCAGTTTTATTAAAGCTATAATATGTATTAATCTAATTGAGCAATGAGACTGAGGTTACACAAGCATTATTGTAACTGTTTTTCTTTGATTGTATTGTACTTTGTTTGGCTGTTAATTTACTTGAATGTCTTTGGTAATGTATAAGAGTTGTCTGTTGCAAAATTTACCCACATCTGTAAGTATATTTTACGGGTGGTGGTGGTGTTGGATAAAGATAAATGCATATTGTGGTGATGATGAAGATGAATGGTGGTGGCGGTGCGGTGGTGTTAACGCTTTGCTTTTTTATTTTTAGATTGGATTTGTCCTGACCCCACTGGTGAAAACTATGCAAGGTGCAAATATTGTAAAGTCACATTAGTACCCCACAAGAAAGAACTTAACTATCACGCAAAGAGTAAAAAACACATAAAAGCTGTGTCATTAGATAAAGCGGCGAAGTCCTGACAGCAATTGCCTTTTGTAAAAACAGTTTCGAAGAATAACAAAACTGCGGAATTAAAAATAGCTGCTTATATAGCTGAACATAGTCCTATTCAAAATGTAGATCATTTAGGTGAAATCCTGCCATGTCTTGATCTGAAATCAGAAGTTCTGGGGACGTTAAAAATACACAGAACTAAATGCAGCATGCTAATAAAAAACGTTCTTGGTCCAGTAATGATGCAAGAAATGATATCAGATGTTGGTGATGCTGCATATTCACTTATTGTAGATGAAACTACGGACATATCAACAGATGAAATTCTGTGCATAATGATACGGTACTTTTCAAAAATTAAGCAGGATATCATTACAACATTTTACAGATACATAAAAATATCTAAATGCGATGCAACAACCATCTATGAAACTATAAAAAATACTTTACTAGAGGACTCCTTACGACAAGTTACTAAAGTTTTCAAAGTGATAATGTCGATCCAGCGAAACTGTTAGAAGACTTGTTTTTGCTATTCAAAAATATCCTGCAAATTATTGTCATACCTCGGAAGCTTGAAACTGTTACGGATGGAGAATATGCATCATTTGGTTTTCAGGAGCATTTGATGCATGTATCAGCAATGCATTTTGGCTACACGGTTGAAGAGGCGCTATCGAAACTAGACAGACGTGACAAAGAAGACGTACGTGAGAGATGCAAAACCTTTCTTGTTATTTTGTGTTCCGAATTACAGAAAAGGTTGCCAAAACAGATCACATTCCTTAAAGCCATGGTGAAGTTGTCTCCAGAAATAGCCACTTCTCAAGTGAAACCTACATTAGTTGACATATTACAAAATGTTCAAAGGGCTGAAGTATATGGGTACAAGAGGTAGAAATGGAATGGAATAATTTACAAAACAAATCTTGGAAAAATACGACGCGTTGTACTGATTTTTGGGCTGAGGTTCAGGGGGACACAGACGCTGGGGGTAATAAAAGATTCCCTAATGTCTCTAAATTAGCATTGTCTCTTTTGTCGGCGCCTATATCTAATGCAGCCGTAGAAAGGGCCTTTTCTCTATACTCAGTCGTCAAAACAAAGCTTAGGAATAGGCTATCCCTACCTATGATATAGAATATAATGACTGTAAGATACAATTTAAACATATTTCACAAATCTTGTGTTAACTTCACTCCATCAAAAACAATGTTGGACAAATTTAATAATTTATTAATAGCATTTCATAATAGCAAGTATGACAAAAAAGATAGTGATGCAGATGATACTTTTATTGTTATGTGCCAATAATATAATAATATGAATAAATAATGTAGTTGTTTTATTTGTAAAGAAAGAAAAGACAAGGATATTTTTTACGGTATTTTTTTAAATAATACAGATTCTATGGTAAATTGAGACCAAGTCTAGGGTAAAGTAAAACCTTGACCTGGCAACACTGCGCGCAGTGTAAGCTACGCTTATTTGTGTGCGCAACACGAACACAAGCGCTTCAAATCTGGCCTGTCGTTTTTGTTCCGATTGCAGCGGAACACTATCTATACTCTATTCCAATTAGGAAGTCACTTTTGACACTTCTTAGAACGTAACTCTTCACGTTTCGCATAATTTGAAATAATAATCATTTTTTGTTCAAGGTTTATGACCCATCATCATTTAAAAATACACAATCAATCTAAATCATTATACAATTAATTCACACACACAATCAACATATTGTTTTTAGACATCGTGCTCAAAATAATTAAAACTTTAAAAGATAATAATATTTTACTGCCGTTTTGCGTTTACGTTCTATAGTTTTATTTTTACTTTTTTACATAGTGACGTGACTAAAAGAATCGTATAAAATCGATTATAGACTTATCGATCTTATAATCGATTATAGATTAGTTATAACTGTTTGATAATTCTTTTGTTGTTATTAAGTTTTGACTGTTATTTCATTTGGTTTTTTTTATTTATAAACACTATGGCCGAAACTGAGACCGCTAAAAGAACAGTGATGCGCAGTCAAGCGCGAGAGTTTGTAGTACGCGATTACTTTGAAAGAGAGTATCAGAATGGTGGTCCATTGTTGCCACTTTCACAAGTGACTAACCGAGTAAGTGCAGCTCTTGGTATTAGTCGAAAAACTGTTTCCCTTATAAGTAAGGAAAAACATGGTAAAGATTTAATGGAAGATAACAAATTAAAATCGCCACTTAAGAAAAAAGTTAGAAGATCGATAGTTACACATATCGACAATTTTGATAACGACGCCATTAGAAACCATATCTATGGCTACTATTGTAGGAACGAATTGCCGACTTTCCGTATTGATAAATTGTTAAATTATTGTTATATACTTTACGAGAATCTGGACTGTTTCACGGCAGTAGAACTTTTTTCTGGAGGGTTTTAAAAAATGTTGGCTTTTCTTATAAAAATGTGATAAAAGGCGGATTTTTATGGAACGTAGAGATATAGCTTTAGCCATATTTAATTTTCTAAGATCAGAAAAGTCCATTGCCGTTTGGAATAATGTTATATTTCTAGATGAGACGTGGCTAAACGCTAATTCATCCAAACCACTTATATTTTCTTTCAGTCTACATTTGAACTTGATTTTCTCACCTTCATCTTGTAACCTTTCTGTTCTAATACGCTGTAACGCAGTGGTAGACACAGATGATTGATGACGCCAACGCCTGAATAGACCATTAATCCGGCATAAAACCAAATAATGATCCGTTCCTACGTTAGAACCGTTCTTACGTTATGTACTGAAGGAGTTAGACTTGGCGAACGTATGGCAAAATGTAAAGAAAGGTTTAGTGGATGCAGCTACCGAAGTATGTGGTGTTAGTAAGAGAAAGAATGAAAGGAAAAATAATACGTTATGGTGGAATGATGAGATACGTATGGAAGTTGAAGCAAAGAAGAGAGCATGGCTAGATTTACTAGCAACAAAGGCTGGTAATTCTAGCGGTACGAATGATGATATTGAAAAAAAAGGCAGTCTTTAGACATCTTAATAAGAGAGTAAAAGAAGTAGTTGAAAGAAAAAAGCAAGAAAGAACGGATAAGAATGATAGAAGAATATCGGATAACTTCCAGGCAAATATTAAAATGTTCTGGAAACTTGTAAGAACTGCCAGGGGACATTCAAAACAGCCTATGATGAATGTTATAAGAGACGAGAATGGCTATATTCTGAATGATGAAGTTTTGAGTTTAAAGAGATGGAAGGAATATTTTGAAAGCGTGTTTATGAGTGAGGAGACAACGTGTGTACCAAGTGAAGTAGAAGAACTCCGAAAGAAGAGGAAAGAGGTAGCGAGATAAGTATAGATGAAATAATGAAAGCAATGAAAAGCATGAAAGCAGGTAAGGCTGCCGGATATGATAAGGTTTTACTCGAAATGCTAATGGCTGGAGAGGAAGTCGTGGCAGGCCTGCTGCACACCTTGTTTAATTTATGCTGGGAACTGAAGCGGGTACCGGTAGACTGGTGCAAAGCCGTGATAGTCCCAGTATATAAAGAAAAAGGGTCGCAGCAGGACTGTAAAAACTACCGTGGCATCAGCCTTCTTAGCATTGTGGGAAAACTGTATGCTAAGGTACTGATTGAAAGGGTCATGAAAGAAACTGATAGAAAAATTTGGGATGTGTAAGCGGGATTTAGAAAGAGAATAGGATGTACAGATCAAGTCTTTGCCATGCGCATGATCGCGGAGAAGTTTTGGCCAAAAACCAAAAGGTTTTTTGTGCGTTCATGGACTTGGAAAAGACCTATGACAGAGTGGATAGGGATGTGCTATGGCAAACACTAAAATCATTTGGGTTGAGCGCTGGCTTGATACAGGCATTGGAGTCTCTTTATAGGGACTCTAGTGCTTGTGTTAGGATCAACGGGGTCTACTCGGGCTGGTTTGACATCCATAAAGGTGTCAGACAGGGCTGTGTGGCTTCGCCGTGGCTGTTCAACCTATTTATGGACAGTTGTTTGCAAAATTTGAAAGTTGAAGAATGCGGATTAAGAATGGGTGAGTTAACCGTCAAATGCCTTTTGTACGCCGATGATCAAGTTATTCTTGCGTCGTCGGCTGACGAGTTGCAAATGATGGTTACATTAATGAACAGATCATTAAAAGAAAGGGGTATGAAAGTGAACGCAAGTAACACGAAGGTTATGGTTTATGAAAGAGAAGAAAGTAAAACGATTTGTGAAATAAGAATAGAAGGGGAGTTGATCGAGCAAGTAGATGAGTTTGTATATTTGGGCTGCGTATTTAGCAGGGATCGAAGATATGATAAGGATATAGAACGACGAGTGAATGCAGGAAATAGAGTAAATGGGGCCCTGCTCTCTATTATGAAGAGTCAAAATGCGCCAAAAAAGGCACGTATGGCAATTCACAATGCTGTGTTGGTCCCTACTTTAACGTATGGTAGTGAAAGTTGGGTGTGGCAGAAGAAGCACGAGAGTAGAATCAACGCAGTAGAAATGCGGTCCTTAAGGAGTATGTTAGGGCTGAATCTGAACGACAGGGTAAGAAATTGTGTAATAAGAGAAGAGTGTGGTTTGCAAGATGATGTTGTGACCAGGATTAAGAAAGGAATGCTTCGGTGGTTTGGTCATGTGGAAAGAATGAATGAGTAAAGAGTGACAAAGAAAATTTATGTTGCAGAAGTGAATGGCTGAGTCGGAAAGGGACGTCCTAGGCGAAAATTTATCGACCAAATTGGCGATTTATTGAAATCGGGCCAAATTAAGAGTACCTTTAACCGACGAGCATGTATGCGTAGGTGTATGGATGTGAAGGAGGCGAGAGAGGTGTGTCAGGATCGTGCCAAATGGAAGTCTGTAGTCTCTGCCTACCCCTCTGGGTAACAGGCGTGAGTGTTTATGTTATATGTTAATTTGATGCTAATCCTTTTTTCTGTCAATACGATTTTAATTTGTTCGTTATAGTAATCGAAGATCAATATCGTCAAGTATCGACTATAGCGGTACTTTACTAGTACTTTATTATTGACGTCTGTCAAATGGGACTTCGTAATTGGAATAGATAATAGACATGTATATAATCAAAGTTCTAGACATATCAACTTAGTGCCGGTGGTAAGCGAGTTGTTGTAGCAATACGACTTGCCCATGGACTTCACACAACCCTACCAATTGTAGGAGGCATCTTCGCGCAAAGTGTTATAATACGTCGGCTATCTTTCGGATTAGGTTGGTAGTTTGTTTGGTAGTACTTTTAAGTGCTACAAGCATACTCAACTCCATGTCTTACCGCCGTACTCTGAAAGGTTCATTAAATTAGTCTTAATTAATACAACTTAACTAATTGGCATTAACTTCGTTGATGAACGGGCCATCATAGAGACATGATTTAAGGGTTCATCAGTGAATGAAAACTTAAAGTATTTGTAAGGCGGAGCGACGTTAAATAACACTATCGATTCCATATCGATAAAATGTTGGTGTAGAACATCTAAAAAGTGATAATCGATAAAAAAATTAAACACATTTAAAATTATTATTCATGGAAATACAAATAATAATTAGTTATTTTACTTTAAATTTTTTCTAAAAGACCAAGCGAAACAGCTATTTGTCCGTCAACAAAATGTATTATTTGACATCACTTACTGCTAAGTGTCAATGTCAAATCACATCAAGGTTGTTTTGGACTTCGTTCGTTTACAAATAATAATTTTTTGTGTTGTGAATCGAAATTTAATTTTCAGGCATTAATTAACATAATTATATCATGACAAGTATCACTATAGATTCGGTAAATACATGATAACATTTAACGTCAGTCAAAGCACTTCTATTCATATTTCTTTAGGATCTACAACAAAAAACACCACTTTTTATTAGTTTAGTTTTTATTAGTTAATATGTATTTGTAGCTAATTTCACCACCGATGATAAGGCTCTATTGGCATATATCATTTAAAAGAGAACAGTCGTAGAAACTACATTAACAGACGGCTTGTCAGTCGAAAAGAAACAAACAGCATGAGATTTTATAACACAAGAGTATAATTGCAACGTTAACATACATAAGTTAGGATTTTCTACTATTATTGACGAAATAGATCATGTGCTACGAATGAGTTTTGAGGTATCTATATGGTTTTCTCATCTGATTGTGTTCCATAAATATATAATTGTGAATGAGAATGATAAATATCAATAAAATCAAATAAATACATAAAAAATACATAAATAAATAAAAGCCCAACCAGATGGATGCCCTCGGCAGGGGCTCGAATGATTATATTTGAATGATTTATATTATTATAACTTTTCGTTCTGTTTATTTTAGCGTGAGACAATCGCTTTAAAGAGGGCTTGGGATAATATGAAAGCATTTAGTTGTAAAGTTCGTGGAACAGAAAGAGGATATTTATTTAGGACTGGAGGTGGATTATATGCACCACCACCACCACCACAACATGGAGCCATAATGAGCATGGCTGAAGATGTAACCATCATGATATCCTCAGTTTTGTATTTTAGTGGGACTTTGTGGCATACATTTTATATTATGCGAACACTCTGCACTAATTTAATATTTTACTTTTTTTAATTTACAATTTTTAATTTACAATTTTTACTTTAGCTGCACCTGTAATTATATGTTAAATCCAGAACTCAAATAGTGATGTTGCCATTTTAAATGCAATGGGTGACAGTCAAGAACTGGACTTCTTAAAAGAAAAATAGTGCCATTGAAATTAACACTTCTCTATCAATTGACACTTTAGGTATGTAGTTCAAGATTAAGTCATCAAGCTGTTGTATATATGTTTTGTTCACCAATACGTTGTTAATAAGATGTTTATATAACCAGTCTTTTTTCATTTTAGATATTTAAAAAAAGCTGGAATCTGAAGAAAACATAACTTTTGCAGTTTAGAAAAAACCTGAAATCAGCCTTAAAATAGAACAACAAAATAGTACAGGAATTATACAATTCACCCTTCACCCTATAGCACAAATTACCTAATAGCTTTATATTCAATTATTTTTATTTTTATTTATATATGTTAGAAATAGTTATAAAATGATAACATCAAATAAGCAAACTAGCGCTATCTATGGTTGTAATGCTTAAACTACTAGTTTCTGGATAATCTGTATATATCCATCTTTTACAATAAATTAGCGAGTTATCAGCTTTCCCAGAAATACGTAGTTTCATTTATTAACATGTTCACTGTCTGTAGAAATAAGCTATAAAGACCACCGTCACGTTCCAAATATTTTTTTTATTTATTTTTTCTTTACTGCTAACTGGTTGAACAAAAAACAAAATTAAAAAACGAACTCTTATTTAACCCTTAATAGTTCCATGGTATCAGAATGCACCACATTGCATTATGGGGTTTTGAACAAACTTAATGTTCATAAATGTACCACAAAATGTCATTTTATGCGAATGAGTGAACGATTCTACAAAATGAATCATCAATCGCGTGTATCCGAACGGAAATTTTTGAACGATCCTGTTTTATAAAAACTGTCAGTGGCTGGTTATTTCGCGCATTTGTGAGGTGTTTTTTGTGAAAAATGTCGAAAAAAATCCGGTAAGTGATATTGTATTTGTTTTTTCAGAACTTATAAAAGAAATATTTATGTAAATATAATAGTTTTAGTATTAAGAGTGTGATTCTAGAACTATATGAGTGCAAAGTATGTGGTACATATTTCGACCAAAGCCCATGAAAAAAATTTGGTTTTCTTGTATTTTTACCTATTTTGTTCTTATTCCAGAGGCCTAAGAAACTACTGAAAGATGATGATATTGCATGAACCCTAGCTGCAATGCAGTCAGTCATCAGAAGATGATGATGAGGACGAAGTACTCGGATGTAGGGATGATCCATATCCAGACTTTGATATCAACAAGGCTTTAGATAAAGTTGAAGATTGTGCAGATCGTTTTTCATTGGAAGAGCTGAAGAGCGTTTTAGAATCTAATTCAAGTAAGTACTTGATTATTAAATTTTACAGTTGCTTCATAGTTTTTCAGAGTGTAATTAGAAACACAGTTACTCGTTAGGTATACGTAACTTACATAAGTATTTTTCTATCTCAAGTGTGGATATTGTCATTTGGTTTTACAGGTAACAGATCTATGTTTGCACCATGCAGCAATATTGCTGCACCGGAATCAAGTAAATTGAAAAAGACTCAAAAGAACATCAGCAGTAATAAAGACTGTGGAATCGGTTTAAAAAGTGAGTTTATTTATTACTTCAAAATGTGATTGTTATTCTAGTTAGTTGATCATTATTATTTATAGATGTTTTTATATCTTATACATAGGTCACACAGCTGGTCCAAGGAAACGGTCTGCGTCTAAGTCACATCTTCGTGAACAAATTACAAGTAAGTGTACCTACATGTTACAGCTTTTTTACAGTTTTTAGCGTCTGTGGTAATGTTGGGACACTTAAGTTTGTCATCCCGAGTGACATAGGATACCTAATTTTTTTTAAAAGTATTGTCATACATATTCACTTTCGCATTTATATTATTAGTAGGGATTACTATAATACCTACTGTGAGATTTTTTTTCTCTTGCAGCTAGAAAATTACCAAGAAAAATGGCTTCATCATATAAAAACCCACCAATGAGGAATATGACACTGCCACCACTAGCCAGAGCTGCTTCGCCGCCGCCGCCTGCCAGAGTGACGACGCCGCCTACTAGAGAAGTGACACCACCTGCTAGAGTGAAGACGCCGCTTACCAGAGAGGTGACACCGCCTGCCAGAGTGACGACGTTGCTTATCAGAGAGGTGGCACCGCCTAGTAGAGAGGTGACATTGCCTGCCAGAGTGAAGACGCCGCTTATCAGAGAGGTGACACCGCTTATCAGAGAGGTGACATCTCCTGCCAGAGTGACGAAGCCGGCTACTGGAGAGCCACCGCCGCCAGCCATACAGGTGACACCACCTGTCAGAGAGGCAACGCCGCCTGCCAGAGAGACGACGTCACCCTCCAGAGAGACGACGTCACCCGCCAAAGAGACGAAACCACCTGCCAGAGAGCCAACGCCGCCCGCTAGAGAGGTAATACCGTTAGTTCACCAAGAAACATTGCAGGAATTGATGACGAAAACGAGAAACTGGTCAGGTGAGGTATCAAATATTCCACAAAAATCTTTTGATAAAAAGTTACAGACCACAAAGGAGTACAACAATAGAAGTTTACCACTGGATTCCTTTTTGGACATGTTTCCGAACCACATATTTTCCACCATAGCTGAAAATACAAATAAATACGCTGAGCATATGTTCTCATTTAATTGGAAGCCCACTGATACCATTGAAGTTAGAGCTATTTTAGGGATGATAATTTTAATGGGTGTACATCCTCTTTCTAGGATTGACTTGTACTGGTCTTCAGACCAGCTGTTTTATAACCCAGTAATTGCAAAAGTAATGTCTTGCAAAAGGTTCAAAAAATTAACTGAAAATCTACACTTGAATGATAAAGCAGCAGAAGTCCCACGAGGTCACCCCAATTATGAAAAACTTTGTGAGAGAAGTGATGAACGTCTTAAATGGAACTTTTTTAGAGAACTGCACCCCAAGCAGCAGTCATTCTATAGATGAAAGCATGGTGAAGTTTAAAGGTAGAAGCACCATGAAGCAGTACATGCCCCAAAAACCCATTAAACGGGGATAAAAGATATGGGCTAGATGTGATGCTGAAACTGGATATATATATATATCATTTTGATATATATTGTGGAAAATCTAGCGTATCACAGGAAGACGATGGTGGATTAGGATTCAATGTCGTGACAAAATTATGCACACATGTACCACCCGGTTCTCTCGTGGTAAGTGGCGAGACACCAAAGACGTTTTCATAGCAAACACAGCCTTTAATCCAAAGGAAATCGTAACCATCATGTGGACACAAGAGGACGGGACAAAAAAACCTCTAGTTTGCCCAATTGCAGTAGCAGAATATACAAAAATATGGGCGGAGTCGATCGCCTTGATCATTTCAGGTCGTCTTATTCGATCGGAAGGAAGTCCAGACGAAACTGGTTCCGCTTGTTTTGGTTCATGCTGGAGACCTCTGCTATTATAGTTCGGCTGTTCAAAGAATGCGTTCCTGACACGTCGCGATTGAACTGACGACGTTACTTTGTAATGGCGTTGCAGTTACGATAAAAATATTTTTGCTGGTTGTTTACCGTTTTAACAATTGATGAGCATTAAATCAACATTATTATATCAATAATCAAAGAATGTTATATGTATGTGCACACTAGTGTCAAATAACTTGGAAAACAATATTTTTCTAAATCTATACTGCGCTATTACAAGGTTATGTCAGCGCTTTATATTTGTAGTGCTGTGCTAACAATAACAGGCAATAACAGTATTGTAATCTGTTCTTATACAGTTATACTTTATAAAATAATACGTTTTGTTTTTCTTTTTAAGAATTTGAAAATAATGGACTATAGATAACTTTTATTAAATATAAAATTAAAACTACGACCAAATCGAACGCGCGAAAGAAAGTAGCATTTTTATATTTAGGTTGAAAATGGTAACCCCAAATGGCGTTATGGGCCGCCATTTTGTGACGCTAAAACAGTCGTCTGTTGTCGTTTCGTATGCATAGACCTCGTTCTTCAAGTATTTTCGATTTGTTTTTGTTTGATTACCCAGCTTTCGTTTAATGGACTGTTTCTGCTTTTCAAACTGACATTGGCGCTAAATCGGACTTCGATTGTGTTTTGTATTGCATTCTTTTTACTTTTGGTGCATAATAATGCCTAAACGTGGACAAACATTGAAAAGTGGAACCCGTAAGTTAATCATCAAGCTGCAAGATTATTTTGAGCGGGAGCGGCAAAAATGGCGGAGCCCTGTTACCTGTCGAACAAGTACAAGAACGCGTCGCTCTGGCGCTTGGAGTTAGCAAACGACCGATAACAAATATTAATAAAGAAAAGTTCGGCTCTACTGGCACGGAAGATAATATTTTACGTACTCCGAAGAAGAAGCGTAGAACTAAACCCGTGACAGATATTGACACCTTTGACGCCGATGCAATCAGAAATCATATATATGGTTACTATTCCAGAAATGAATATCTCAACAGGAAGAAGCTTTTGGCATCGTTAGAGAGCTGGACTGTTTAGCGGCGGTAAAACTGCTTTAACCAACATCTTTGAAGATATTGGTTTTTCGTATAAAAAACAGACAAAAGAAAAATTTTATTAGAACGATACGACATAATTTTAAAACGGATAAGTTTTTTGAGAGAAGCAAAAAATATTGATAACTGGGATAATGTCGTGTTCATTGACGAGACATGGCTAAACGCCAATCACACGGTTTCCCGTTCTTGGACGGATGATACACAAGCGTCGACGTCGAAAGTACCAATGGGTAAGGGGGGCCCCGACTGATAATATGCCACGCAGGTTCTGCAAAATACGGCTTTGTGGAGAACGCGTTACTGGCATTTCAATCAAAAACCACAAATGACTACCACGAGGAAATGAATGCCACTACATTTAAAGGGTGGTTCCAGAACGTGCTTTTGCTCAGCCTACCAGAGCCTCCTGTAATATTCATGGATAATGCCTCCTATCACTCGGTTCAAATACAGAAACCACCTACCCAAGCTAATAAAAAAGAAGAAGTGGTGGCTTGGTTACAAGCAAAAGACATTGACGCAAATATGCAGATGCTAAAGCCAGAGCTAATTAAATTAATGTGCGATATGAAATCGATGAACTGGCTCTGGAATACGGTCATCACGTTCTAAGAATTTCACCGTATCATTGCCAATATAACGCGATTGAGCTAATCTGGGCTCAAATAAAAGGTTACGCCGCCCGCCACAATACTTCCCCGCCATTCAGCACGAAAAAGATGATGACCCTATTAAAAGAAGCCTGCGGGGAAGTCACAAGAGATGACTGGGCAAAGGTTGTTGAGAAGACTAAAAACCTGATTGTGAAACATTTTGACCGAGATATCAGGATTGATTCTGTTATTGATAATAATATACATGTAGGCGAAGATGATGATGAAGACACCACCTCCTCAAGCGAATCAGAGTCTGATTAATATTCTGTACGCACATTCAATTCAATGTACTTTATTGCATAGAAATACAGATTCTACCTTTGTAACAAAGAATAAATAAAACAATTTTATTATATTAATATTACCTTTTTTTGGTTTCCACTTAAATTACTAAAATATAAATTTTAAATGATTCCGCCAACTTAAAACGAAAATAATCTTAAAAATAACGCGGCGGTTCATTTTGGAGGAACGGTAACGAACTCAGTGTTATGTTGTGCCCATCACTAGTCGTTACTAACTGATAGGTGTCAGGAACGCATTCTCTGAACGGCCGAACTATAATGCGTGTATATGTTACCTGTTGACACATAAGAAAACAAACAACAGTCACATAGATTTTAGAGCAAGACTTAGCAGAGGGTTTATAAATAATTTTAGTACCACCAGTCTACGACCAATCACTTATAAAAACTCGAAAGAAGGTGTATTTGGAGTGCCGGATGAAGTAAGGTTAGCTAATGTGGGGTTGCACATGCCCTGCAAAGCTAAAAGAAGGCGGTGCAAATTTTGTAGCACAAGACGCGAGCAGCGCCGCACAAATATTATGTGCAAAATATGCCTTGTTCCTTTATGTGTAATACTTTGTTTTGAAAATTTTCATGTAAACCAGTACTGTAAATAATATAATTTGATAAATACTAAATTGGTTTCTGTAGTTTTAATACAATTTTCTACAAACTAACAATGAGTTTTGAGTTTCTATGACTTTCCAAATGAGCAATGGTCATATAGAGTCCACATATTTTTACTAAACGGGCAATAGTGACCACATGATTTTTCCAATAAAAAAATGAAATATCAATTTTTTATTTTTATAACTTTATTTTATACATTTACAGGAACCCAAATTCAAAAAATTACAATAATCCATATACTTTTGATACCATGCCCTATTAAGGGTTAATAAAAAAAATAAAAAAAAAAACCGACTTCGAAACAAAAAAGACGGTACTTACTGCACTAAAAAGTGAAAAATAAACTTGATTATATATTTAATTCAAAGACGAAAAATGCGCACAAACTCTTTTATTGGAGGTCTAATTTCGTTTATAATAACGTAATTATCTACATACTAAATTTTTACATTAACTAAGTAAACGAAAAACTTGACTTAAGAAAACTACCTACTTTACCTATAACTATTTAAATTATTATCCTATTTATAACTTTATACAATACCTATTAGTTTATCAATAAAACTATTTATTTACAAATTAATATTATTTATATACACAATTACAATTCGTTTCTAAACATGTTACCTATTAATGTACCAACCTATTAATACATACGGGTAGGCCACACACATAAGGAATCCCGTATTGTCCGCAAAACTTCGAACGGAAAAATACCGTCGGTGTGTGACGTGTCATTGATCTTCTACGCACTTGTTGCGTTCGGAATCCCAAATCCCGAATGCGTGAGCTTGGACGGGGCGACGGCGGGCCTCGTACCGAACGATACTACTCGTAACCAGGGTATTCAATCTCAATACTAAATGTTAGGATATTTTAAGAAAATATTCGTACTAATTTGGGTTGAATATAAAATGTTAGAAAACCAATACAAATTTGTAGTTTTTCAACATCAGATTATCTATGGTCTGTCACTTTCGTCTAATCACTCACCAAATACTATAGAAAACCTACAGTATAATACGTGTAACTCCACTCAAAACTTGGCAATCATGTACACTAGCGCCTCTAGTGGCATGAGTTGTTGAATTTAGTTTACAGCCTTGTAAACACAGAACACTATCGGAGCCTATGCTTGTAAATAGTCGCGTGGTTAACATTGCTTGTATTATTTTAAATATTTTATTCATTATTTTATTTCTTACATATTTTTTCACATTCATAATGTATTTAGTTTTATTTTAAAACTCCCAAGAAATCATCAGAAACTATAATCTACGTTTTGTTTCTAGTGTAAAATTGTAAAAATTTTTCAAATTCTGTTGAAAAACTACGTACAAACAAAGAGTTTTGCATAGTTCATAACTTTTTCATCAACTCATGCCACTAGATGGCGCTATCTATTTTGACAGTTGCCATTCCAATGTATGGAAACTGTCGAGAGCTGCACGCATAGAGGAAAGTATATATCGTACAGCTGTACGTATTAAACTGCACGTATTAAACCGTAAGGTTTTATAAAGTGTTTGCACTCAACAGCTAGGGCGCCTGCTTTGCGCGCTGTCACTGTCAAGTGTATTTATGGTCAGAGCGTTTGTGAAACTCTGAGTAAACTTCGGTTTTTTGGCGGGAACTTGGTCGACGACGGACTGTCGCTCCTGTTTTGTCGCTTGAATAATGGTTTGAAGTGGATTTTAATTCGTAAAAGTGATATGATTTTGTGAATTAATTGTTTGCACGTGTGAACTATTAGAGAAAACGACGAAACAAGTGCTTTGATGTCGATATAAACCTCAAGTTATTTTGATCGCTTAGGCGCCTTATGAACTTGAGTGGCTGTCGTCATCAACTGTC